AAGGAATTAGTTATGGGATTGCACACTTATCTCTTTATGCCTTGATGTACCATAAATAATTGAACCTGATTGTGCCTGCATTCGTGCACGTGTGTATGCGCTTGTGTATGTATGTATGTATGCGTGCATTTATGTATGTATGTAGGTAGATATTTCTGTTTGCCTATATGTGCACACGTATGTTTGTGTGCATGTGTGCGCATGTGTTTCTTGTGTGTGCGAAGGAAGCGACTACCTCCACTGTGTCAATGGAGAATATGAAGAAGCCGGCCACAATGGAATGTCCATCCTTGAGTCTATCGGCACTTCAGGTGCCTAAATATCTGGCTGGTAGGTGTGATGGTGAAGGAAATGTACAAACTAGTGACCAGAAAGGTACTGCAGAATCCGGCCTGACGAGGCGGACGGAGAAACGAGTGCATGCCAGAAGCAATCCACGAGATTGCCAACGCATGGTATGGATTAACTTGTTCCTCTTTCGGCCATCTGGATCACATAAAGTGTGAGATCGCTTCCTGTGCATAACACCCTCTCGGGTTCATGATAGGCAGTTGGCGTGTAACCCTTTGAAACGAGTGAAGTCGAGCCTTCTCAGACTTGTCATTCACGACATTTGATACCAGATTCCAATTATGAGTTATTGAGACATCAGCTGCCGGTGAAGCATCTAACAAACCAGGTAATAATGGTCATAGCAGACCAGTCCTCACTTTCTTTCGAATCTGTATTCGCTCGTCTCTTTATGCTCTGCAAAACTCTTTTATCCGACAAAGGCAACGCTCTTCTCGAAGATATTTCACTAAAGTTCAAGTCCCTACGAAGCTCGCTCACTTGGTCTTAACTTGCACATCAACGTGGCCATTAAGCTTGCATTCACATCTCCATCAAGTGAAAGAGAACTTTGACTAATCATCCTTTCAGTAGGCAGTCTCTAAGACCATCCAAGACATCTGCACTGGTAATAAAGGCAAGCTGGAAGGGTGAGTCGTAATCATGTTCTTTGCACTTGGCTCTCACTCTTATTCTCTTTCAAATCCAATATCAGATATCTACTCTATGCATTGTGATCCATGCTCTCATCTCCCCTTTCTCCACTAGCTTCTTTCCTTTCTCCCCTCATTCTTCCACTCTCCTCTAACTTCTTTCATCTCTCTTCTCACCTCTTTCCTCTCTCCTTTCTTCTTTATTTATTTTCCTCTCCTCTCCTCTCTCCCCTCTCTTCTCTTCTCCATCCTCTATCCTCTATCCTCTCCTCTCTTTCCTGTCTCCTCTCTCTCCTCTCTCTTCTTCGCTCTCTCCTATCTCCGCTTTCCTCTCACTCCCTCCACTCTCCCGTCTCCTCTTTCCCCCAACACTTGACTTCGGCCTTTCTTTCTTCGTCCTTTTACTTGGTCGTAAGTAATTGCACAAAGATCCGAATGCCTTTATCTTAGTTAGTATGCAATTCACTTTCGTCAAGCATCCCCAAAAAACGTGTCCAGAGTTAGCCTCATCGTGTCTCTAGTACTCCTCAGCCTGACTGAACATAATCATAAAGTGTGTTTTTGCAATCGAAGTAACAAAAATCTTTAACTCGTAATAACACCAATAACAACTTATTGGGTGGCTCTGCTAGAATGGTCCAACGAAGCATAGAAATAGACTTTCTAACAAAATGCATACTTTAAGGAAATTACCCAGTCTCGTCCACTTCCAAATGTTCGAGCATATTGCCAGGCGTGCATACCAAATAAAAACACACAAATACACACTCGCATACACACAAAAAGTATACTCACACATCGTGCCAAAACATGGACATGCCAACTAGAAATAACCCTTATGCCAGTATGCTAGCGTTAGCCTGTATCACTTTTATGCCAGAATTTCACCATGCAAATTTCAGCAGACCTGCGGACAAAGTGAATTGACGAGTATTTTCGCCTGAACTCCCGTTTAATTAATTTTCACGTTGGGCAAATCGCCAAAATAAATAAATAAAGGTTCATATACTGCTTTTGGCATCAGTAACAGTTCGGTATCACAGCCTTCAGGAGCAAGATTTTTATCGAGGTGTACCAGTTTCAACTGGCTTTTGCATTCGACTGCCAGCAACTCTTTCTGTTGTTCCGTTAGTTTCGCGTAAAAATGTGGGTAGAAAGAGTTCCTAAATTGGCTGTCTCAGAAACCGAACTTGCGAGTGTGCTAACAATTTTTCGGCGCAACATTCTACTATCTCGAAGTGCAAGCAGACGGGATTTAGGAAATTTCCTCAAGTACTACAGGTAATGTGGCAGGTTGCTATTCATCCTACACCTTATTCCCTAACTTTGGTCGTTCGATAAGGCATTTCATGATTTGGCTAATTATTTCTGGCTTCTCTTAAATGCCCGCAGGCAAATGAGATGACCGTAGATAAGGTGTAAATTGGATGAAAGTGTGACTCAATTTCTGCTTCTTCAATAAAATAAATAGCATTTTTTTATTCTCAATCTTGATACATGTAATTGCACTCCATTGTATGTTTGTTGTGTGTATAATATT